ATGAAAGTAGATATAGCCAAGCATGTGGCTAAGTGTTTAACATGCCAACAAGTGAAGGCGCAACATTACAAACCGAATGGAATGTTGCAACCATTGGAAATCCCTGAGTGGAAGTGGGAATACGTCACGATGGACTTTGTAATGGGATTACCAAGGAGTCAGAGGGGTCATGATTCGATTTGGGTGATAGTCGACCGATTGACAAAGTCAGCATATTTTTTGCCGGTGCGAAAGGACTTCACCTTGGAGAGGTATGCCTAGATATACATGCGATAAATAGTCCGTCTTCACGGAGTACTAGTGACGATTACTTCAGACCGTGATCCTAAGTTTACTGTCGCTTTTTAGAAAAGTCTTCATACGGCATTAGGAACGAAGTTACAGTTTAGCACGGCCTATCATCCCCAAACGTATGGCTAGTCTGAAAGGACGATTCAGACTTTGGAAGATATGCTGCGGGCATGTGTATTGGATTTTAAGGGTAGTTGCGAGGAACAGTTGCATCTGGTTAAGTTTGCCTACAACAATAGCTATCAGCAGAGTATCATAATGGCACCATTTGAAGCGCTGTATGGCAGAGCTTGCAGAACGCCGATTTGTTGAGATGAAGTTGGTGAGAGGAGCATCACAGGTCCAGAGTTAGTTTAGCAGTCAGTGAAAATAGTCAAGGTGATCCGGGACAGGCTTAAGACCGCTCAGAGCCGCCAAAAGAATTATGCAGACCGGAGACGTAGGCCTTTGGAATTTCAAGTGGGGGACCACGTTTTCCTCAAAGTATCGCCGATAAGAGGATTGTCGCGGTTTGGCAATAAAGGGAAGTTGAGCCCGAGGTACGTGGGTCCATTCGAGGTCTTAAAGAGAATTGATACTTTAGCCTATCGTCTCGCACTACCGCCGAATTTATCCCAAGTTCACAATGTGTTCCACGTGTCTTTGTTAAGGAAATATGAACCGGATCCGACCCACGTGCTGAATTATGAAGAAATAGACAAGGATGATAGAGTGTCGTACATGGAAAAGCCAGTAAAGATTGAGGACAGAATGGAACGAGTGTTGCGGAACAAGACAATTCCAATGGTCAAAGTAATTTAGGAGCATCATGGAACCGAAGGTGTGACATGAGAAAACGAAGAGTTGATGCGACATCAATACCCCCATTTGCTCGAATAATTGGGTTGGGTTGTAAATTTCGAGGACGAACTTTTTGTAAGGGGGAAGAGTTGTGACATTCCGAATTTCAACCCATTTTTAAGATTTATAAAACGTGCATTTCGTCAGTGTACTTATAGTTAAATCTCGCCCAGAACTGATCACTCTCGGGTTATTTTAAATGTGAGATTTCGCTAGAATCGTATTCGATCGAATTGGCCGTTATTTAGAGCCCGAACTTTGGTGTCGAATTTCTGGAAATTTTGTGACGAATTTAATATGACTGTGTCGATATTATTATGGCCAGCGTCGATATTGTCCGGGATTGGTGAAAAGTGAAATTTTGATCGGGTGCGGATTTGGACTAGTAGACCTTCCTCGTAATGTGTTTTATTTAGTGTCTTTTGGCCAAATCCTACTTTATAATTAGGATTTTTCGTGGACCATCGGATCGATTTCAAGTTCGAACGTAGGCCATCGGATCACACTCATTGCGTTAACTTTTATCTCTCTCTCTCTCTCTCTCTCTCTCTCTCTCTCTCTTTTGCCGCGCCCCCTCCCTACGCGCACGTACCCTCCCCCATCTCCCCATGAAAACTCTCTCTCACTCATCTTTTTTCTTTTCTTTTCCTTCTTCTTCTTTCTTCTTCTTATCTTACTCTTCTTGTCCTTCCTCTTGGCCGCTGCTTCTGCTCCTTTCTTCTTGCTATCCATCGACCGATCGCCGCTCGCCAGGACCAGCCCAGCCACCACCCGCCATCCACCTTGCAGCACCGCTCGCCCAGCCGCCGCACCGTCCGTCCAGCCATCTCTCCCGACCCGGCTGTCCTCTCCCTCCCTTCCGCGCGATCAGCTCGCTCGTCCCGTCGTTGTTCAGCTCGCCCAGCTTGCCTGGCCGAGCCCGTTGCCGTCGCCGGCCACTCACTAGCTCGCCAGCCCAACTTGCTGGCCGCTAGCCTAGCTCACCGGCCGCTCTCCAGCTCACATGGTTGAGCTCGCCGTTCGACCGTCGTCCCAGCTCGCCGGCCAAGCTCGCCTGGTCGCCGTCCCGACCGTGCCCGGAGCTGGCCAGCTGCTCGCCCGGTGCTACCTAGCTGTCGTCCGCTAGCTCACCAGGCCGCACGCCAGCTGCTCACCGGCCGTGTCACCCGTCACGCCCAGGCACTCGCCAGTGGTCTAGCCGCTCGCCCAGCTGCCCGGCCGCTTGCCCAGCTGCCCGGCCGCTTGCCTAGCCGCTTACTCGCTCGCCCGGCCGTGGCCGAGGACCGTGGCGAACGTTGTGCCGAGCGCCCCGGCCGTGGCCGAGCGCAGTGTCGAGGGCTTTACCAGCCGTTGTGCCCGTGCCGTGCCGTGCCGAGCCCGACGCCGCTCCGACCAGCCTTTTGCTGGCTTTTGCTTGGTTCCCCCTTGGCTTTGGACTTAGGTAAGTGACTCCCTAAACCTTATTTAGTACATTGGGTATTAATAGACTTGTTTATGGGTTATTAGGGTTGGTTTAGTGGTTAATGGATATGGCTGATTTGTAGAATGATTTGTGGTGATTTGGAGGCCAATTAGTGGCTGTTCTTGGCTGATTGAATTGCTGGGATTATGGACTAATGTTGTGGAGCCTTTGGTTGGAAAGTGCATGGAAATGTGATGTGTTGGTGATTGTGTGCGTGGCCGGTTCATTGTGGCGCTTGGGAGTGAATTTGGGTGCTAAGTATGGTTGGTTTGTGTGAGTAGTGGGTTGAGATGACTCAATGATCTTGAAGCTTGACTATGACGTGAAAATTGATTGAATTAAGTAGCGTGTGTGTTTGCTTGACCAAGCCCGGATCGATCGGAGGGCTGCCAACCTGAGACGTGGTTACGGGGGTCGAGAGAAATGTCTTGAGGCGTGGTTACACGGGACTGAGCCCGGATCGATCAAAGGGCTGCCAACCTGAGGCGTGGTTACGCGGGTGTGGCTAGAAAGGCAAGAAATGACCTGAGACGTGGTTACGCGGGTCGAGAGAATTGTCCTGAGGCGTGGTTAAGCGGGATTGAGCCCGGATTGATCGGAGGGCTAAGCCTAAGGCGTGTTGACGCGGGTCGTGGATAGTTGCTTGGCCACGCATGCGAAATGTGTTTGGTTAAATTGAGTGAATGTACGTGGTTATGGTGTTTGAGTATTTATGTAATGTTCTTGAATTATTATTGCATTATAGTGATTTAACTAATATGCAGAGTTGGCACTTGATTTAAGGCAAGGTAAGTATGCTTGTGTGGATTCGAATGTGTTGGCTGTTAGATCTCATGTTAGACTCGTCTGGATATGCATTGGCCTAGGTGGGATATAGGTTGTTTGCTTATTGATATTTATTCTTATTGCTGTAGTGCAAACCATTTCAGATCCCCAACCTCGACCTTGATCATGCCGCTGCCTCGGCGTTTTGGGGTCCCTATGCATACAGTGCATGAGTAGACAGAGTATCCAGTATGTCCCAATCAGACTTACGTTAGGCACCTTACTTCAGTCTGGGTAGATGTGGGCCTAGCGGACTTGCAGCTCCACACTTACCTGGCCTGGTTCTATCGGGATGGATTGGAGTTAATTGGCCCAATCCGGGGTTTTGAGGGCCAGCAGCACGGCAACGAAGATGCCGTAGATTAGGAGCCCGGGGACGTGTATGCTCCTGACAGTGAGGTTTTGGACGCCAAAGATCCCCTGTAGAACCCTGGTCCAAAACCCGAGCCCGTACTAGAACCCGTAGCGCCTGCAGACCTCGAGCTCGAGGAGGAATTTGAAGAACCAGAGCCCGAGCTCGAGGAGGAGCCTATGGAGTCCGAGCAAGAGGATGAGCCGATCAAGATCAACTCTGACACGGAATCCGAGTCTTCAGGATCTGATTTAGATTGGGCACCGTATGAGTGTTGGGGTGCTGGGCGTAGAAGCCTTTTGGTAGAGCCCCTTTTTGTGTATTCCATAGTCTACCCCACCACTTGTCCCTTTATGATGATGAAGGTGAATGCTAACCCTAGGAGCCTAATGTTGATATGGGTTTATTGATTTGTGCAAGTACTACCCTTTCGTCATTGTTTATTGTCTGGGTTGTTTGATTTCCGCTTTCACCTGCTTATGTATTTGCGTGTGTCGTTTGGGTCGGTGACGCGTCCTGGGACATCGCGTTCAATACGACCGTCGAAGGGGTGTCATGAGCCCGTTAGGGTCCGGGGCGTGACAGTCTAGCTACATTTTGCACATTTTCTATTGTTTTAGATTTCCGTACTAGTGGCTTCTTCTAAGTATAACACGCAGCACGGGAGCATCGTTGCCTTTTCTTTTCTCTCTTCTTTTGCGGACTAAAGTCAATCAATTTGGTTTGCCGAAAAAAAAAATCAAATTTCTCCTTCTTTTAAGACATTTCTATTAAATGTGGGTACGCAATGAATGAGGAGAACAAATTCATTTCACATCCCGTCGGCTTGTTTGATGCTTATAGGATGAGCTCTGCATAATTTCCTACAAGCCAGATGTAGGCCTATACCAACATTTATGCAAAACACAAAGACATTAAGATAGGCTAGAACCGAGAAATTTTTGTCGTAGAAATTTTATCCTGAAAAAAAGGTATTTACCATTTTTCCTCAAATTTTTATATGAAATCTAACCTATATATATAACATAAGCTACGTAATTTAATAGAATGTAGTATATGAATGAAATGCTTTCTTTATCTTATAATTAAAAATAATAATTACGGAATCATAAATTCACGTGGACCACTGGCCTATTTTCCACGATGGTTGACTGGTAGTTGGTGTATCTCAATAAAGCAACGAAGGAGACTTGCAACGACTCTCTGGCTCGTCCATAGATCCTCCAGATTCACATCTGTTTCCTCATCAGTAAACTCGATCAGCTCTCGAAGATGGACGGGAGGGACTCATCGGATGGAACAACGTTGTCGAACACCGACAATGGTGTTATCGAATCGCTGCTGGGGGCTGAATTTGAGGTGTTCTTAAATTTCAGAGGGCCTGACACTCGCCTAAGTTTTGCTGACTGCCTCTATCACTCCATGGACGGAGCTGGGATTCGTGTTTTCAGGGACGAGGAAGAGATCAGAAAAGGCGATGCAATCGGAGACGAACTTGAGCGCGTGATCAAGAGCTCCACAATCTGTATACCCATCTTCTCTAGAAACTATGCGTCTAGTGCATGGTGCCTTCGTGAGCTTGCATACATGGTGGAATGCTCGAGAAACAGCAACGGCAAAGCGATGATTCTGCCGATTTTCTTTGATGTGGATCCTGACGATGTCAAGCTTAAAACGGGGTTGTACTACGATGATTTGCAGAAGCACGAGCACAAATTTGGCTGCGATCTAGTGGATCAATGGAAGGAGGCGTTGAGGGAGGTCGCTCATATCAAAGGATGGCATCTCAAAGACAGAGGGTAAGCTTTGAGCCTTTATTATTATTATTATTTAATTTTATTTAATTTTAATTTTTGTAATATAAGATATATAATTCATATAAACATGAATAATAGCAAATACTCTCGTCCTTGCATCAAAATTTAATATTGCTCAGTGGTCTCTGTTGGTCTCTGTTTCATCAACTTATTCTTCAATTCACACATATTTAATAAGTTCTCACCACACATTCACTCAAGTAAATAATTACTCAATTTTTTCATGAAAAATTGATATATCTCATTTCGTTTGTAATCCCCGACAACAAGGCAACCGCGGAGCATGTGCCTCAACTCTAATAATAAATGATTGCTAATTTTTTATATAATTACAGTTAATGAATAATATTATTAAAATTAATAAATTATGATTCTAAATTAAGTTTTAAGGATCAATTAAAACTGATGGTTACCAATTTTTCATCATAGTTAATAAAAGAAGAATAATATGATCACTCTTATACATCTAATAATTCTAAATCATATTTAGGAAATATCAATTAGTATACTATTCAGTTATTATTATAAATGTATATTAATATAATCTAAATTCAACGATACTGTAATAAATACAAATAAGTACAATGTAAATTAAATTTAGTAGAATACTCTCATTCAAGACATATTTGCCTACAACCAGAATATAAGAATTTCCATTCCATTCCCACAATTCATCAAACAAAAATTATTGAAATTATCGTTTTATTCCATTCCATTCACTGTCTATTCCATTTTGGCCTACCAAACAGAACCCATTGCAAGTCACGAGACGTTGGCTTTTCAATGAAAGACGTTATTTTATTCTGGTAAAAAGAGGCTCTATTACTTTGTGTCCATGATGGAGCCAGGATTTAGGTCCAGGGGACGCCAAAGTCATTTATGAAATATAGAAAGAAAAAAAAATCTTTCACACAAGAGAAGTGAATAAACTTACACATTAAGTGAACAATCTGGACAAGAGAAATACTTTTTTGTCGTGATGACTCTTGATTTTAATTATATGAAATTTATTAAAGTTATTTTTCAGCAAGAACTCTTTTACTGAAATATTCAATTAATGTTGGCTTCATCGTAATTTAAGTAATTTTTTTGTATGAATGGAAAAATTTACCTAAGCAATGTAGATTCCCATACACGGCGAATAAATAATGTCAACTTAAAAATCATTATTTTTTTCTGGAAAATTAATACGGAGAAACAAATAATTAAAAAGAATTGTTAATACATATAAGTTAATATATAATGGTAGATGAACTCTCTACTAAGACATGACAAAGGAATTTAAATTCAATATTCGATATGCATCTTCTAGATAGAATACAAACATTTTTTCTGTAACTTCTAAATTAATTTTATATAGGTTTGATTCGAAAACAATTGTTCTAGCTATTAGTATTTTCATCCATGCAGAACTAGAAAACAAATCACACACGATATGCGATCAATAAATAAGGATTAAAGAAATCATTTGCTTATATTTAAAGGAAGAAAATCCAAAGGTTTCGATTATTACAATTTAGGAATGAAGGAGTATCTTTTATAAAGTTTAAGTTCGCTCTTATCTTAACGATTTACATTTTTGACCATTGAATACAATATATAATTTCAATTCATTCTAAGTAAAAAGGCATGGATTTTGATTATTTATTTCCTAGAAAACAGAGATAGATCTTGAAATTTTATATTAGATAAAGTTTTTATAATAGGAATTAATATATTTTTTTGGGGAGGAGGATGGGGGATGGGGGGATTTACTTATAATTGATTCTTTTCCAGTATATTTGCAGAGTATCCATACAAAATTTTGTGGGATGGGGGCGGTCGCTCCCCCTAGTCCCCATCCGTCAGTGGCTGGTTCGTGTTTAATTTACAATATTCCCGAACTTGATAGGTTAGTACTCTACCTTCGATCTTTCTGACTAGACTCTTTGTATCAATTATGACAGCCAAGGTGAAATCATTAGATTACTCGTCACCGAAGTTTTGATCAAGCTGAATAAAAGAGACAAAAATCTGCCTGATCATTTAGTCGGAATTCAAGATAGTGTTAAAGACGTCTTGCGCCTGTTAGATGAAGGTTCTCCTGATGTACATTATCTAGTAATTCACGGTATGGGAGGCATCGGTAAGACAACTCTTGCCAAGGTTGTCTTTAATCAAATTTCTAGTCGGTTTCATGGGTGTAGCTTTCTTTCGGATGTTCGAGAAGCTTCAAAGGGCGGCAAAGTTGTTCAATTGCAAAAACAATTATTGTCAGAAATTCTCAACTTTAAACCAGTGGAAATTTCTGACTCCGATGCAGGGATTAACCAAATTAAAAGGAGATTTCGTGACAAAAAAGTTCTCATTGTTCTTGATGACCTAGATAAGTGGGACCAACTCTCAAAATTTGCAGAAAAGCGTGATTGGTTTGGTCTAGGGAGCAGAATTATTATTACAACGAGGGACACCAACTTTTTGCCGATCGAAGAGCAGAACCGAGAAAATTATGTCCAAACGCATATCCAAGAATTTAAAATCTATCAAATGAGAGAAATGCACCATGACAGTGCTTTTCAGCTTTTTAGTAAGCATGCTTTCAGAAGGGATTCCCCTCTACATGGCTACTATGATATTTCTCGTGAAATTATTCGCAAAGCTGGTGGACTTCCTTTAGCTCTCGAGGTTATCGGTTCCTCTCTTTATTGTAAGAGTAAAGGACTTTGGAAAGATACATTGAAGAAATTAGACTTAGCTCCCAATCAAGATGTCCTTGACAAATTAAAGATTAGTTTTGAAATGCTAGAGGATGCGCAAAGAGAAATCTTTCTTGATATTGCATGTTACTTTATTGGTGAAGAAAGAACCCATCCACATTATATGTGGAAAGCGTTGGATTTTTTCCCAAGAAGTGATATCATTATCCTTACCCGGATGTCTTTGATAAAGATTGTTGATGATAGACTCTTGATGCATCACCTGCTCAGAGATCTTGGAAGAGAAATTATTCGACAAGAAGACCCCAAAGTCCCCGAGAAGCGTAGTAGATTATGGTGTCCCAAGATTGCGTTACATGTGGTGGAGACTAGAAAGGTAAATTTAATTCACAGCTACTGTCTTCTCGATCAAGGAAACATCAGCTCGAAAGTTTAAAGTATATTTCTGAATGTGTTCTTTTGTTTGTGTTGCGTCTTCCAGAGAACTAAATTCGTTTGATTGAGTGAAATGAAGGTAACATCGTGATTTATATCTTGCCGATGATATCTATAGCTCACATTTACGATCTGAAAATAGAAGCAAACTGAATGGTTTGCCGGATAAAATAGACAAATTCTCATATACTTTTGGCACTTTAATTAATTCCATCCACCACTTTTACTTATAGAACAAGTCAATGCAATATGTGCTCACGGAATGTGTTCTCTTTTGTCACTATAGAAAGTTCACTTAGTACTTTTCATGTTGTTAGGGAACAGATAACATTATAGCACTCAAACTAACTGGACTTTCCAAAGAGCACAACTTTACAAGTGAAGATTTTTCGAGGCTGCCTAGCTTAAGGTTCTTGGAATTAGAGGGGGGTAATTTGGCAGGAGACTTTAAGAATCTTCTGTTACGTTTAAAATGGCTTTCTTGGCATCGTTGCCCTTCAGACTTGCAGGCGGTCAATCTATGTTTATGGAACTTAGTCGTTCTCAAATTTTCAGACAGTAACATTCCAGAGGACTGGAATGGATGGGGCCCATGCTTGGTATGTTCTTGTATCACATATATACGTTTGTAGCCATTTTGCCTTGCCTTACTTTTCTACTTCTAATTTGTTTTGCAGGCGAATCGTGACTTGAAAGTTATACATCTCACAAGATGCCATCTCTCGACAACTCCTGACTTCTCAACGTGCTTGAATTTGAAGATACTAGTTGTTAATGAACATTGTCCAAAGTCACTACAAATTGGTAGCTCTATCCGTAAGCTAGAGCGCTTGAAGCACTTGGAAATAATTGCAAGCCAATTTCAACTGTCAAAGTTGTCTGCAAGCCTCCATTTTGATTTGTTCGCAGTGCCTTCTGCAATATGCGGTCTAAAGTACCTATCAAGTCTGAAGCTAGAGGGGCAGTGTATGCGAGAGCTTCATCCATCTATTGGAGAGATGGCGGGCTTGACAAGCTTGTCTTTAAGGGGTTGTTATCGGCTTAGAAAGCTTCCAGACTCCATTGGAAAATTGAGATCATTGCTTGTATTGAATTTGTTCGACACCAGGATTACAGAGTTACCTGATTCTATTGGAGATCTCAAAAGGCTGGAGAAAATGAACTTGGGATTCACACAAATAAGGGAGCTGCCAAACTCCATTGGAGGACTACAATCATTGCTTGAGTTACATTTGCAGGGTACAAAAATTACAGAACTGCCTGCTTCTATTGGATATCTTAAGAGGCTTGAGTGCTTAGTTCTAGCTGAGAGTGAGATAAGAGAGTTACCGAAGGCCATAGGAATGCTGGAGAATCTTAAAGTGTTGAAATCTGGCGGTTGTAGCAATCTTGAGGGGGAAATCCCAAGCGAAATTGGGCTAGTATCCTTTTTGGAGGAGCTAGACTTATCAGGTAGCAAGGTGAGCAGAGTGCCAACCACCATTAATCAACTATCTTATCTACGAGAACTTCGTTTGGGAGATAACCGTAAGCTTGAAAGGTTGCCGGAACTTCCTGCCAGCCTAAAACATTTATATTTCGTAGCGGAGTCTGTGCTTGGCACCCTGGGACAAACTTCATCGAAGTGGATGGGGGAGTCAGCAAAAGGGGAGGAGTGGAATCTAAGTACAGATATCACATGGCCTCCTCAGCTTTGGTCACTTCGCATATCTTGTGACGATCCTCGATTTCTCACAAGGCTTCCTTTTAGTCTTTGTCGTTTGGAATTAGGAGATGTCAAGTCACCACTAGAACAGCCATTCTTTTCCAACTTGAGATATTTGAGATATTTGTCTGAGTTAACACTCTTTAGATGTTGGTTGAGAGAGATTGAGTTTGAACAGCTAGAGAGTCTCCAGAATTTAACAGTGGCAGAATGTGAATTGCTGGTGAGGCTATCGGGTCTATCAAGCTTAGGGAAGCTCAAAGAGCTGACAGTGTGGAATTGCTCGCAGCTACTCGAGATTCAAGATTTGGGAGAATTGAAATCACTGAAGGAATTATTAATTAAGAGTTGTAGCTCCATAGAAAGGTTACCTGATCTATCAAAACTAGTTAAGTTGGAGACATTGCGACTCTTTCACTGTGAATCATTGCAAGGTTTGCCTGATATACCCAAGACATGTCATCCCTATGTTCATCGATGCCCAATGTTAAGCGAGTCTGTTGACAACTACAAAGCTTGTGAAGAATGTAGGAAATCAAACATGGATGTGGATAGCGTGTGAGGAATTGGAACAATTGGAAGCATCATGCAAAAACTAACAAGTTTGTAAGACGTTCCCTTTAGGGTTTTGTATTCGATAGTCCATTTTGAATACCTATCCAAATGAAATAGAGGAGCAGTAGTCCTTTAACAACAAGCAGAAAGCTCTTGTGACAGTATATTTTCCTTGTTTTTTAACAAATAGTCCATTTTAAGGCTGTCTACTCTGTGCTTAATTTACATATATAAAGATACTTGTTTACTTTGCAAATAGAGAGGAAATGTGCAGAAGACAATTGTCTGCACTTTGCACGCATATGTAAATTATTTCATTGTTCTCTTTCATGTCTATAATATATGTTTTGGACACATGCTCGTTTTTCTAGTGAGAATATTCTCCTTGGTTAACATGCTCATATTGTTGAAGTCGTATGATTAATCACCTCTTGACTGCCTTTATGCAACCATCCTAATGTTTTTTCCCTTTTCTATTCGTAAATCAATAGGTCGTCTGAAGATACAACTTGGCATCCTGTTTGGAAAGAGGAGTTTGACTCCTTTTCTTCGGAAGGCAATTACTTGTGGATATGGCACAATTCGTCCTTGGATGTCTTAGCTCATAGGTATGTGTGAAACTGAAAAAACAGGATTATTTCCATAGAGATGCTTGTTTCGCGCTCTCCATGCCTTCAAATTCAAAATGTCAAATTGATGGTGGTTTATCACATTAATTCTCATCCGCAGTCTTTTCATGTAAATGCATTGATCTTAATCTGACTAAATTGCCTACAAGGTTGATTCGGCACTTTGACCTGAACAAGTTCAGACCAAATGAAGTCAAATGGGTGAAGATCAGTTTGGCTTATGAGGATTAAGTGGCGACCAATCAAATTATAAGGCTGGCATTTTGGGGTCGATCAAGTTCTGGTTGATGCCATGGTTGGGCTATCACTTTTGCGTAATGATTTTTTTTTGGGAAAAGTGTGAAAAATCCGAAACCCATTGTATTGATGTCAATATAGTCTTAAACTTTTTAATTATGCTAATTTAATCCTAAACTTTTTGATCTTGTGTCAATTCAGTCCTTCCGGCTAATTTTGGCCGGATATTATTGACATGGACGCCGACTAGCTTACGTGGCATGGCCGGCGGCTGGCGCTAACATAAACATTTTTAAACAAGTTTTTTTAAAAATTTTGATTTTTTTGACCAAGTGCCAATTCTTTTTTTTCCGTTCTTTTTCTTTCCTCTCTTTTTTTTCCTCTTCTTTCCGGTGGCCGACGAGAGCAAATGCCGGCGAGGCTACCCTCACCAAATTTGGCGAGGCCAACCCTCGCCCAAGCCAAAGCAGCCTTGCCGGGCATCGCCTAGGGCCTTACACTAGCCTAGGCGAGGCCGCCCTTGCCCAGGCAACGCTTGGCCTTGCCAGTTGGCGAGGGTGGCCTTGCCATTTGGCGAGGGTGGCCTTGTCGATGCTCACCCTCGCCTGTGGCATTCCGAATTTCGATCCATTTTTGGGATTTATAAAACGTGTATTTTGTCAGTGTGCTTATAGTTAAATCTCGCCCAGAACTGATCACTGTCAGGTTATTTTTAAATTTGAGATTTTGCTAAAATCGCATTTGATCGAATTTGGCCGTTATTTAGAGCCCGAACTTTGGTGTCGGATTTCTCGGAGTTTCGCGATGAATTTAATTGGACAGTGACGATATTATTGTGGTCAGCGTCGATATTGCCCGGGATTAGTGAAAAGTGAAATTTTGACCGGGTACGGATTTGGACTGGTAGACCTCCTTCGTAGTGTGTTTTATTTAATGTCTTTTGGCCCTTTTTTTTCCTAATTTATAATTAGGGTTTTCGCGGGCCGTCGGATCGATTTCGGGTTTGAACGAGGACCGTCGGATCGCACTTGAGTGCGTTGAATTTGTCCCTCTCTCTCTCTCCTTCTGCTGCGCCCACACTGCGCACGTCCCCTCTCTCTCCCCCCCCCCTCCCACGCAGCCCACTCTCTCTGTCTTCCTTTTCTTTACTCTTCTTCTTCCTTCTTCTTCCTCCTCTCCGCGCCGCTGCCCCTGCTTCTTCTTGCTGCTCACCGCCGACCACCACTCGCCGTTCGCCTTGCACCGCCGCTCGCTCGACCGCCGCACCGCCCACCCCAGCCGCACTATCTGACCCCGACCCGGCTGTTCCCCCTCCCCTTCTAGCGCAGCAGCAGCTTGCCGTCGCGTCCGCCGCAGCACGGCTCCGCCAAGCCGCCAGGCAGTTCGTCCGGCCTCGCCTCGCCTCACCGCCTGCGACGCCGCCGTGCTTCCCCGACCTCCGCCGGCTTGCCTCCACCGCCCCAGCTCCCCCTTTCTCGCCCATCGCCGCCTCGGCTGCCGTCCCCACCGTAGTCGCCGCCGCGAGCCCAGCTCGCTAGCCACCAGCAGCTCGCCGCCACCGTTGTCACCGCCGTCGCCGCTCGTTGCCGCCGCCTAGTTATCCGGCCAACTCGCTCGCCGACCAGCCCAGCCACTTGCCTAGTCGTGGCCGAGCATCCCGGGCCGTGGCCGAGTAGCCAGCCGCTGCCCTTGCTCGTGGCCTAGTCACCCCGCTCGTCGGTCGAGCAGCCCAACCGCTACCCCGGTCGTGGCCGGACAGCCCAAGCCGCTGCCCAGGCCGTGGCCGAGTCGCCCAGCTCGCCGGGCCGAGTGCCTAGCCGTAGCCGAGCACCCCGTCCGTGGCCGAGCACTTTGCTGGCCACTGTGCCCGCTATGCCCGTGCCGCGTCGAGCCGCCACTGTTCCCCCGGGCCATTTTAGGACCATTGCCAGTTTTTTCCGGGCCAAACTTAGGTAAGTGACTCCCTAAACCCTACTTAGTATAAAGGGTATTTTTAGACTTGTTTAAGGGTTAATTAGTATCGGTTTAGTGGCTATGTGACATTCCGAAATTCCGCTCATTTGGAATTTATGAAATAAATTATTTTATTAATGTACTTGTAGCTAGTTCTCACCCGGAACTGATTATTCCTGGGATATTAACCATTAGGGAAAGGCTAACTGGGGACTTAAAATTCGTGTGACTAAGTAAGAATTCGATCGTGAATTGACTTTCGGCCATAAAATCGCCGATATGATATTTTAAGCCATAGTAGGCCGATCCAAGAATAACTAAGGGTCAGTTCGCCACTGTCATAGTAGTGGATCGCGGGTGATTCCGCCGGACCACGAAATGAATTGACGAACGATCCCGAACTTATTCCGAACGATCGTACTCATCGGACCTAGTGATCGATCCTCGCGATTTAAATGACAACCGAAGTCATTACGGTCTGAATAAATTGTACGTGACTCGATTTAGTATCAGTCACGGGTCGTATAGGCGAATTTCCCCAAAAGCCACCCGTTAGTCTGAGAAACGCTCGAGTTACGTTATGAATATATAATTGGAATATTGAGTAGAGACCAAACCGACCGTCAAAAAATTCGGAAAGTCACGGCAGGACCTTTGGACGATGTTGTAATTGGAACGTGCAACTCTGGATTTCTTCGGATTTTTCAGAAAAGTTCGATTTCAGCGAGAAACGGAGAAAGTGACCATTTTACCCTTGGAATTTATTAAAGGGTTAGTTTTAAAGGGCAAGGGCATTTTGGTAATTTTGCCCTAAAAGTTGGAAAAGACAATTTTGCCCTTGGACTTTTTGAGAAATTACAAGATTGTCCTTGGATATTTTTGGTAAATTTTGATCTGGGCCGTCGGATTCAAGATAAGATCGAATCTGGACCGTCGGATGAAAAGATTAGACGAGGGCGTTTTGGTAATTTGACAAATTGGTCAAAATTTCACTATTTAGGTCCAATGACCCTTTCTCTCTCCTCTCTCTCTCTCTCTCTCCCCCATTCGGTTCTTTTTTTTCCCCCACCGTGAGCCCCCTCCGATCTCCCTCTCTCTCTCCTGCCCGGACCGCCAATCGCCGGTCACGCTCGCCGTCGCCGCCGCACCGCCCACCGCGCTCCGTCGCCAATCCGCCGTCCCCACCCTCACGCCACCTCACCGCCATTCCTCTCTCTCCCCTCTCTCGCGGCCGTGAGCCAATCGGCCACCGCCCAAGCCGCCACCGCTCGCCGATCGCCACCGCCAAGCCGCGCCGCCGTTCACCGCCATCCCCGTTGATTTGCCGCCGCTTCCGTTCTAGCCGCGTGAGTCTAGAACTAGGTAAGTCTCGCCTAAACCCGACTTAGGACTTCGGGTATCGACGGGTGATTTTTGCGTGAAATCGGGTTTAAATTAAGTGCGAAATTTCATGATTTAGGAATGGAATTATGTGGTGGGCCTTAGGATTGAATTTGGAAAATTTTGGTGGAATATTTGAGATCGATAGTGGGCTGTGGATGACTGTTCAATGGGCTGTGATGGGCCGATTGGGACGCAAGTTGGATTTTTAGAACCGACATTTAATGGCGAGAAAGTCTCGTGAAGGACCGGAATCGATTTGACGCCATTTGGTTAGAGAAAAATGGCGAATTGTACGTTTATGGTGTGTTTCAACTGTGACTGAATTTTTGTGATGAAATTGAGTGCATGGTTGTGTAATTGCCTGATTGAAATATGCCTGTTGGGTGCACGCATGGGCCAGACTGATTTAATTATTAAAATTGGCCTTGTCAAATGCTGAGTGAGCATGGGTCATGTGTAATTAATGCGTGCACGGGCCACGTGTGATTGGCCAGTTAAATGTGGTAAATGCTTGTGGAGCATGTGCATGAGTAAGAAAGTGGGTGTGGTGTGATATGTGTTCGTGGAAATTGTGCCGTCCTAAGGCGTATTCGTTTATACGGGACGATGCTCGGTATTACCGGAAGACTGCTAGCCTGAGGCGTGTACTTCAACGCGGGTTGCGCAGTAGGTGGTAGGTGTTGAGCTTGAGGCGTGTACTTCAACGTAGGCAAGAAACATGGCCTGAGGCGCGTACGTTTACGCGGGCCCAGAAGTGTTGTGAAAAGAGGTCGCAGTGTACCTGAGGCGTGTACTTTTACGTGGGTCACTGGCGAGGAATGTGGAAAAAGATATGATGAGAATGAAATGAATGTCTGAAATTAGAATTGTGCCTGCGTGTGATTGCGTGTATGTGATTGTGTTTGTGTTTGTTTAATTGTCTGGAGGTACGTGATAGCCTAGGTGGGGTTTAGGGGTGAACTTGCTGAGAAGTGTTCTCATGGTTATTTCAATCAATATTTTCAGAACCCCGACCAGATCCATGAATCCTCCACCGTAGCCACTAGAGCGTTTTGGGGTACCAGTGCACACCAAGTTTGACGTTACAGAATTTCCTATGGGTGATGGCATGATCTGGATTAAGCACACTTCTACAGTGTTTATAGATGTAGGTTTGCCTCTTTGGGAAGAGCATAAGTATTCTGCTTGGTTCTTCCGGGATGCAGCGGGGGATGAGTTCGGGCCCGTTAGAGGTTTTGATGTTCCGCTTGACTTAGTAGGGGATTGGGACCCTTCTGCCATACCCCCGATAGACGGAGAGTTGACTAGTGTGGAGACTAGTTTAGCTCAGTCTGGTTTGCATTCAGCGCCCGCAGCAGAGGGATCTTCAGAGACTGAGCATGAACCCTAGCCCGAAGCATTGCAAGCTGAAGATGATCCAATGGACATAGATTTAGAACCCATCCCCGAGGAGGAACCAGAGGAAGTGGAGCCCGAGGTAGAACCCGAGAACGAGCCTGAGGAGCCCGAAGAGGAACCGGAGTATGTACTCCCATATGAACAATATATGGATCCCAATTTCGTGCCAGAATATAATTTCTTTGATTTTCTAGCTGGGGAGGATCAGAATGAAGTTCCAGCCGAGTCGAGTGACATCAATCACCCGATTGAGATCGAGGCAGAATCGGAGTCCTTCGAGGAGCAGACCGTTCAGGGGAGTTCGGATTTGAGTGACGAGGAGTCAGATTCAGAATGGACTCCGAGTGAGAGGCGAAAAGGATAATGTAGGGGCGCAACAGTCAGGCTTTTGGCGAGTACCATTTTTTAGGGTAGAATGCCAGGTCATCGGT